AAACAACCCTTCACGAATAAGCTAAAAAGTCTAGACAAAACAAATCCTGATTTGTTAACTGTTCGGCAAATCTAAGCTAGCTGTATAGGATTCATTTCAAAAGCCAATTAAGTTCAAAGCAAAAAGTTTTTACGCCCTAGTATATTTATTTACTGTTTTAATAAAATTTGGAAAACATGTTTTCAGGGTCTATTTTTAAATCTTATCTTAAATAAGGCAAACGAAAATATATCGCATGTTATAAAGGCATTTTATAAAAGGACGATATCTCAAAGTATATAATAAATATATCCATAAAGGTGAGTTCTTAATCTGTCAATCCAAAGGTTTTCGACAAAAAAGTGCCTTGAAATCTCTTCAATATATGAAATTAATGTAAACAAACACTTCAGCTAACAAACAAACAAAAAGATTTCTTTATACTTCTTGCACCTATGGTTAAACCGTATTAGTGTCGTTCCTAAAATCCCATGGGACATGGGACCGATCGGTTTTATTTAGAGGCAAGTAGGCAGACTTCTCTGCGGTAACTGACTGCGTTCTACAATTTTTTTTAATATCATAATTTATCGAAGAATTTCTTCCAATAACGTACTTAGGTACAAAAAAAGTATGTTACAAGCACGGCCAAAAAAAAATGTATCTCCCTTATCCTCTGGAAGTAAAGTTCAATGTCAATGAGAAGCCATATATATCCCATCCATAAATGTCAAATCCGCTGAAGGTTATATTGTGTTTATTTTACCTTTGTGAAAATAAATTATTCATGTATTTACCCAATCGTCCAATAACAGAGACACCTGTGCTTAGCATCGTATAAGCAAGCCATGGCTAACAAATATTCTAGTTGGCATAGTAAAACATACTAAAAATGTTCGATAGACTTTATTTAATCGTAAGTCAAGACGTTCTTGTAATGTTTGAATATTACAATTCTAAAAGACTTGGAACATTTATAAGATGCGTTGTGATTTTGTTCGTAAATAATAGTTCAGTGCAACTGAACAAGAATATATATATAAGAATTACTGTTTGTAATTTACGCGAATGCCTAGTACACATTAAAATAAAACATTTTAACGAAGACATCGTTAGTCAAATAAAACCGCTAAAGTATTTTATTAGAACGACACGATTTTTGATAAAAGTTATTGCTTTTTTGACATAGGATTTTAAAAATGTATGAACACATGAGCTGACCTTACAACAAAATATAATTTCGAGATAGCCTGAAACAAATGACGACCACCATTCGCTTTGTTGAGTACAAAAGGCCCATCGGACACGCTCCCTCCCCTTATCGGAATATGTCATCGCGCACTACGTACATTTCAAATGCAAAAAGAGTGGGGTTGTGTCGACCTAACCGGTTGCCTTTGTTCTTGTTAGGTTGGCTAACTACAGTTATTACAGCTGAAATAGCGAGAGTATCCGTAATCTCGGGGTACGCTCCGAAAATTCTTATTTTGCGATATGAACCTCGTTCTCTTTTTATTTTTTAAATTGTACAGTAATCATTTCTAAGCCTAGGTTTAAATTGAACTTCTCAATTTAAATTTTTATTTCAAGAACATGTTAATAATTAAACCTGTATCAATTTTTTTTTTAATTCGTCCGTCAGATCGATTTTATTTATAGGCAAGAAGCCCCCGATACAACAAACAAATTGTTTTGAGTCAAATCCGGGAGACGGCCTTCTCCCCTTAAAACTGAACGAAGATATTTTGCTAATATTGAAACAAATATTTTATAGATAATTTTGAAGTCAGTTCTGTGTCTTTTATGAAAAAAAATTACCGCCTCTGTAGTCAGATGGTTAAACGTGTTGCCTAGCGTTGCGTTAAGTGCGAGTGGCCTTGAGTTCGAATCCTAGGGCAACAATAAATCGTTTCGGTCCGACAAGGCACAGAAGTCTGAGCTACTACTTGCCTGTAAAAGAACCGATCAGTAAAACGGATTCAAAAATGTGTTCGCTCCACAGGGAGAAACGGGAGTCACTTTTTATAAAAGAAATATCAAAGCCACATAATTACCCACCTGGGACGCATTCGACGTAGATAATGAACTCCACACAACCACGCGTGATAAAAAATTAAATGTTAATCGCTGTCATTAGGTAGAATAACGATTTACATTGTACAGCCATGAGACTCGCTTATTGTTACTGTAAAAAAGATTAGCGCATTTGCCGTTAACGACCCCGAAAACAGGACCGCATCAGACAGGGTCCGAAATAAAACGGAATAGCAATAAAAGTAAATCGACGAGTCGACCCGGCGTTCACTACGTGCCGGATTAAATCAAACGTTATTCGTCTTAGAAAATTACTCGAGTGCTTATGGTTTTCACGAAACTTTCGGCGGAAGTACGTTTTAACGGCTTTCAAATTAATGTAAATAATAATTTAAATTTCGAAGACCAAAGAGTAGAGTTTAGACTACGCTATGATTAAATAGCACGTAGAATTATATATTAATATGGATACAATGACGCTTAAATGTACTATACTCGTATTTTTTTTTAATTTTATTTAATATAGTGCCGTAATGTGCCATAGCATGTGAAAAATATTAAAGTTTTTAAACGTGCTATACGACAACGATCTATGAAGTTTATATATTTAAATAAAACACTTTAATGGTTTAAAACACGATATATTGTAATATTATATTTAATGCAAAATTCTATAATGTTGTATAATTAATATAACTTACGCTAAATGTATATATCGTGACTTATAATACTTATACATTACATACAATTAAGAGTTGTCCAAGGTTGGCCTCAAACTTATGAGGGATTCCGAGAAACTCTCATCTGCCTTCCCTTTGAGATAAGACCATATAATCCTCATATCAACAATAAACGACAACATCACAAGCGTTTAAGGAAGCTAATTCGACGGCATCGCTGGGGCTTCAGTATGAAGGACTTGCGGCAAGCCCGGATTAAACTTGTTTTTAAGTTTATCGTAGCTTTAATATTGTTCGAAAAGGCTTAAACGCGATGCTTAAACTATAATGACGTAAAAGTATATTCAATTCACAAACTTGGTTTCTCTCTTGGAGTACTGAAAGTTTATTTACTTCCTGCTGGCCATGGGGATTGGGGTGATTACATTGCTGTATCAGTTTAACTGATATATTTTATTTAGGCTTGTAGTTGATAAGACGATTTAGTGTTTCTCCAGGATTCGAACCCAAGATCTCCTTTGTTGAATGCAATTTTGGAAAATACGCTTAGCCATTAAGTCATAATTACCTAAACACTTGGAAAAGTCGTTAGTAAACTCTTTATTAAAACCGCGGTCTAACCTTTATTTTTTATTATTCTAATATGTGTATGTATATACATATTTTTAATGTAATAGTTAAAACCGATTGCTTCATGGCTTTTTCCAAGTAATAAAAAGTTCGTTTAAGCAAAGTAAAAACGGGACTCTATCACTTACTTGGAATTAGAATTTATGCAATAAAGTATTGTTTAAGAGCTTTAGGATTATTAGTCTAAGCTAGACTAATTTTTTAACTAACTTAGACTAAATATAACATATATAAAAATACTGGCTATAGTTTACGCGAGTACTACACATTTAAATAAAACACTTGAACGGTTTAAATCGCAATATATTGGCTAAACTTATTTGAAAATTATTTTTAACTTCGGTCCGACGGTTCGGATGCTTTGCAGCAGCCGTGGTCACAGGTACACTTTTTTATTAAATTGATTTAATATATTTCGCGTTTTAAACCGTTAAAGTATTTTATTTAAATGTGTACTGCACGTAACAGATTAATTGAATTATTTTGTATATACAGGATGTTCCAAGAAGTAGTGTCAAGCGGTAGTCCCAAGATAGAACAGCCCTTGGAGCATCCGAGACACCATGTATGTTCTGCGAAGACTTTTTCTAGATTTTTTTTCACAGTTCAACAAGCATGAGTTGTACATTAATAATTAAAACATTTGTCGTCGTAATCTTAACGAAAGTTAAAAATATGATGGTTCAAAGTGAAAAAGTTACGAGCCGTGAACTGCGTCTTAAAATTTTAACTTTGAATTTAAAATATTAATACGTAGCTTTGTAGTACAAAATGAAAAGTATATAATTAAGGGTATTAATATAAATGAAACACTTTTAACGGTTTCAATCGCATAATGTACTAGTAAACTTATTTTTAATTTATTTATTGACCGTACGGCTGAAGTTGCAATAAATTTAAAATAATTTAACTAATATTACTCAAGTTTTAAACCGTTAAAGGTTTTTTATTTCCGTATTCAGTAGTCAACATTTCTCGTGTATGCTACGTATTTAGCTATTGATGTGTTAAATTATTCTCAACAGCTCTAAAACACATTTATAGAATACCTGTGATACATTTCACAGCTATAGATCATTTTATTTTTAATAAAATATAACCTAGTCGTGTTTTACAACAATCTAAATTTTCTAACTTTCTTAAATTTATTTTTCGATAAATTTGAAATCTCAACTGGCAATGTATTATACATACGAATACAATTCCCCGCAAATGAATTAGATATTTTATGGAGCCTATATTTGGGGATAGCTAGTTTATCCTTATTTCGTAAGTTCAAATGATGCCTAACACTATTCTTACATGATCATAACTGACATTAGTGACACCCTCCATCTTGAGCCTCCCGCTGAAAAGGAAACATAAGCTAAAACAGGATTACACAATTAGAAAAATAATACTATGGTAAAGAACACCAAAAAGAATAGGGTTTAAAATACTTAAATTGAAAATAAACGACATCTTATGACATGTGGTATATACACAATATAGAAGACAATGATGTCATGTAAAATGTCATATTTATTTCACGACAAAGCCTCTGAATAATTAAGTTACACACTAGACGAATTGCAAGAGATCCCCCTTATCAAATCAAGAGTAATTTATTTTTACTGCTTCATTTATACTCACCGTAATTATTTGATTCGGTCCCCATTCGAAGTTGGCCATTCCGAAATGGGGGATAATGGAAAACTACTTTACTCGTTAGCGGAGAAAAAACTAGCTCCATATGTGGAGTGCGGTTGGTTTGGTTTCCGATTGCATTACGAAGGCAACCAGACATTACTGAAACCATTACCTTATCTAAAGTCCTTCTTGGATTTATTTAGTTTCCCCCTCGCCGCGACTTATCGAAAACCGCTCGATAAAGTTGTCAACAGGAATGAATCTGAAACCAATTTGAGAGAGAAGAAAAAGTAAATTGCTTTTTTGATTCTTCTCCTTTGGCACCTCTGTTTGGATACTCTCGAATTTATTTCGTGGGCGTATTGACGCATTAAGTTTATAAAAGCGTTTTATACCTTTGACTATGTTTGTGTAAAGGAATCTAAATAAAATACGCAATTCCCGTTTAAAACGAAATACAGTTCGCCTCCGGCTGCCTGTGTAAACTGTTTTGCATTTCTGGTGCAGATAATATTCTTTCACAAATAGAGATCAGAAGGGAGTAACTAGTAGAATAATATTGTGTTAGATGCGGAAAACGTATGGTTAAAAGTTTATTGCGCAAACTTAATCATAAATGCGTTCAGTATGTGTAGTAGAAGTAATGATATAAAAATGATATAAAACAATACATAAAGTAGAACGCTAATAAATTTCGTAGTAAATCTATTCTATTATATGAAACTGAAGAGTTTGTTTGTTTATTTGAACACGCTAATCTCAGGAAGTACTGTTTGGAATTGAAATATTATTTGTGTGCTGGTAAGAGCATTGGTGGAGTAAGGGTATAAAACATTCCGCTACAACTAATAAGAGCGAAGAAATAGCGGGAAATGTGGAGAAAACGAGGGAAATTTTTCATCTTAGTGAATTATCGTTGCGTCTGCTGCGAAAATGGTTTAAGATCAAGAAATACGTATGAAAAAAATTTTTGCGACCTTTTAAAATTAACTTGCAAGAACGACGAGACACGACCGGCATTCTGGGTATTACCCAGAATGCCGGTCTTGTCTATACCTTAAATTTATTTAAAGAGATAAAGAGGAGGTATGCAAAAACAAAATGATGCCCAAAATAACTTTTCTTAGCGAACAAAGTGGCTGACACAGCTAGCTCTTAAATACATTCTTACTGCATCAATAATATGCATTTAGCATGATAAATTATAAACGAGTATATCCATACATTTCCTCCATATGCAATAACATCTTGCTTATTCCGAATCTGCCGTCATAATTTTAATTGTTCTTGCCGTAAATTGTGGTAAGGTTGGAGCAGCAGAGGCATACAGTAAGTCAGACGTTGATGGTCCCACACAGAGCAATTAAGTCCTTAAGTAAGAGAATTAAGATCTATAATAGTGTAGCTGTTCCTAAAGGTTTATTACGGTCGACTTTACTAGTGCTTATAAAATTACCGCTTTAAATCGCATTATTTATAGATAAATCTTAGAATTGTTTACATTACACATCTATCAGAAATAAAGTTAATATTATATTTATTAATAAGCTGTTGAGCGCAACTTCTTCGTGGAAAAGTGATTAATCATGATGATGATTTCATAGATTGTATCTATATTTACTGTTTACAAACAATTAATTTATGTTTTAAAATACTACACATAGGTAAAACATTCAGAGACAATAAAAAAGCATAAAAATCAATTATTAATGTAATCGCAGTGTATATTTCTTTAACTTACTTATTTCTCTTGGTTGCCGTGGATAGTTAAGTTATATTATATTATCTACATATTTACTTACATAAGGTATTCCCCTGCTCGAGTTCTAAATAACAATACAGTTAATGCTCGCTTATTTCAAAAATAGCATGTCCAAAACAAATGTTAAAAGCTATTGTAATTCACGAGGATAGAATTCAATTAAATCTTAAATTGAATAATACCTTTGCATCAATGGAATTCATACATTTCAAAGCACGTGTATTGAAATTACGCTTCTACGTGTTTTCGTAATTAACTTTATTTGGGAAACAAATGATTTTCGGCAACGGTTTCGCCCGTGCTAAACGTGCGTATGAATAAGGATAGATTTGATTTCGCTGAGATCGCAATAACGATATGTGATTTCATACAATGATCTTTAACCGACCGGACCTGGGGATCGGTATTCGGGCGACTTCTTGCCTGGCTTCGTACTGATTCAAGCTATTGTGTGATTCGCCGTTCGCATCGCCAGTCGACGCTGCGCGTCAGATGATGATACTTTGTCTCAATTGCGTTGACAAGTATTTGCAATTTAAATAAAACACTTTAACGGTTTAAAACGCGATATATTAGTTAAACTTATTTGGAAATTATTTTTAACTTCGGCCCGACGTTTCGGATGCTTTGCAGCAGCCGTGGCCACGGGGAGACCCTGTATCTCCGTTTTAAACCGTTAAAGTGTTTTATTTGAATGTGTACTACTCGCGAAAACTATAGACAGTATTTAAGTATTTGCAATCGTCATAAAAATCTTCAATTATTTATATTAGAACGTGTTTGTGCGTCAACACAAATACATCGCTATATATTCCTGGAGTATAATGATAGTTAAATGTATCGCTTTTGTTGTAGTATCGTAACTGATATGGCAAACGTTTTTTCCTATATGAAATATATCGACGAAATTTGATTACCATAAAACGGTTCTAGTGAGTAATTAACGTTTTAAATTGTTTAAAGTAGAATGATGCTTTTATACATATTATTGTGTATTGTTAACCGTTCTCGTATCGCACGCAACGGATATCCACACTGATTAATCATTTTCTCAGTTTTTCTTACATTTTCCGCTGTTCCTTTGCTTACAAAGGTCGCAGCCTGATGTGTTAGAGCCTAAAGGCGTCCTCAATAAATGTTCTAACCGACATAACAAATTTTCAATTCGAACCAGAAGTTCCTGAGATTAGCGCGACAACAAACTCTTTAGACGTATTAGTAAAGATTTAATGTTTTGTTTAAAAATCTTAAGGTTGCATCTCTTTCTTCGCATCTTATTTCCTCCTAAGTTGCAATACCAAGTGGTTAAGGTTTCAACAAACAGATATATTGAATACACGATTGTCCTATTATCGGATGTGTGCGAAGAAAGATTAAAACTTTCTCCACAGTGTTCGCGAAGCTTTAAGCTTGCTGTCATAAGGCAAGTAAAAGCTCGAGTTGAAAAGCGGATTAGGCCCCTTAAGTTTGTTGCGAGGTAAAGCAATATTGTCGAAGACAGCAAAAAGAAAAGACTCTACACCCACTCTTCGATATTAAAATCTCCGCGCACTATTAATTATGTTTCATTATATGTTTCTATAGATTCTTCGTGTTTGAAAAACTTTAATATTTTTCATATGTATACGTATAAAAATTAATCTGTTTAGATTGAAAATAATTGACGACGCGGGCGGGACGTGAACCGGCATCCACAGCGTTCCGTGCTGCTGCTCTAAACCAATTGAGCTACCGTAACCTGTGTGTTGCCGGATAGGTTGCGTCAATTTCTTTTCAACCGAAAAGATTCTTAATTTACGATAATCGATAAAATTTTAATCAAATAAAATCTTCTATCCAGGCGACAATTTTCAATGTTCGTTTCCTAAAGCACGTTCTTTCTATTCTTAGTCTATTGGAACCACTAACGTCCTGTATGTGGTTTGCCTATGATGCTATGGGTATTTATCATTTTTCTCTTGTGCTCGCTATGACATTATTTTTGCTGTCCAATTGTCGTCGCTCTTCGTGTTACCGGGTAACATTTCCACTTCACGCGTTCCGCTATGTTAGTTATAATGTCCTTAAAAAATAAAGCTATATAATAAAAGTCACACTATTTAGCTCCGTACACCTGCAGAGAATTTTTAATATTTTAATACTAGTAATTTAAGTAAATTTTATTTCACGAATAATGCAATTTTGAGATAAACTTACAGCTTATAAAATTTGTTATTCGATTAACATAGGCCAGCAGCTAAAACATATCCCCGCCTCGTTCTTATAATTTCCTTAAATGGCGAGCATTTGATTTAAGTGCGATCCCTGAGTGAACAACGAGTCTTCAGGGACCGCCCCTACCATTTTCTTTTATTCCCTTCCCAATCCTATTCCCAAGCAGTATTATCTAATGTCATATTAATTAACAATTGAAGAGGCAATAACGCAGATAACATAACTTATGCAAATATAATGTTCCGGCTCTCAGTTTGAGATAGTTCGAACTCAGTTCGAAAGATCAATTCGGTAATATGAAACTTAGTGTTGGTGTTCCTCAAAGATCCTTTATTATTACGGAAGATTCGCTGCTCATAAGGAAAAGTGATGTCCCGTTTCTCATTTGATATAAAAAACATATTTCTGGGTTCATTTTAATTATCGACTGTTTTAAGGAGTAAGTCATTATCATCAATGGCTGTAGAGTTCCCTGTGAGACCTACACTCGTCTAGTCGCATCCGTCCAGTTCTGGACACACCTAAAATTAACTCAATCGTACCAGCGCAGCCTTGGTCTCCCGAGGTTGCCTAGAAGAAATTCCAGTCTCGAAAGCTACTAATTGACTTAAAGTTCTAGAGCATTTTTCTAGTGAGGAGTTAATTTTCTTTTTGACACAAGAATTTAACTTGTATTGTACCTTGATGCTCTTTCATATGTATGCAAAGGGTGGCGGATGAGAGGCTGCGACATCGCAGCTCTTACCTGCGCATCGCAGCCTCTTGAGTCTGCTGCTGGTACTGCATTGAACGATATTGAGATCGTCAAAGATGTTAACACCATCCAAAGATTTATCTGGATATCTTCCGATTAAAGATAATGGGAGCTCGTTGATCCTTTTTGCTCAATACCCGGTAAGTTTGATGTTATGAAATTATTGTGATATTCTACATTGATTGAGTATTACTATCACTAATAATAAAGTATATAATTACTTTTGTTAAAATAAAAAAAAGTGACAGTTTATTTAGCGCTTTTAGCAAAATTAGAAATTGAAATTTGTGCACCTTCCCGTTCTCAAATTGATCTGAAATTTGGTACACACAATTAATTTAGATGATAATACAATATAATAAAATTTAAAAATATTATAATTCTAAGATGGCCGCCGATACAAAATGGCGAATTAAGCCCCCTCAATATGGGTATCAAATCAAAGACATAATCATGGTGTATTACACTAGTAAAACACGATGATTGTGTCAAATGTATTGTAGTTTTCAGAGCACAAAAAATAAAATTGTTTAACTTAAAAAAAAAAATATAATTGTAACTCCC